CACTTTTTTTGTGTGGAGAACTCTATCTTGTATTTCTAGTATCTTTGGGTAAAGGCATACATAGAGACATTAAAGCAAATTAACAGAAAAATAAGTTGCTCAAAAATACACAAGACAATATGGTACATGATACACACCGAGCAGGGGCGTAGAAAGGATTTTGAAAGGGGGGAGCCGTTATGCGAGGTACGTAGGACCCGGTGTTTGGGGGTTCCAGGGGCAAATCCCCCTGGAAAGTAGCGCGCTCTAAAGTTGCAATAAACACATCATAAATAATATTAGTAAGCCTAACAATAATTATATAAAATTCAACAGTGGTGGTGGATCCAGGAATTCAAAATAGAGGTGACCCAGGGAGTTTTTTAAAAATCACGCTTAGACCTAGGTTGTGTCATTGTAGTAGGCCTGTGTATAACGTGTGCTGATGCATATTTCCATAGTTTTGAGAAGTATTCATTTTAAGTGATCCCTGGAAACAATTTGTATTGCCTAGCAAGAACAAGCTTTAAAATTTTAACACTGTACAAAGTGGGGGGGGGGGGTTGTGTGTGTGTGTGGAAGGGAGCCACGGCTCCCCCTGTATCATCCCTGGCAGGGAGGTATTTTATACCTCCCTGGATACACTAAGTTTTCACAGACTTCCCTCTATATAAAAACATCTCGTGTGAATTTGAGAAGCGGCAGCAAAATGTCAAAATCTTGACTACTCATGAGACTAATGGATGGATTCTGTGTAAACCACAGGGATAATCCACGAAAGTCTGAAGATTTATTTCCAGTGGGGTCCTTCTGGTGGTGATTGGGCAGTTTGCAGGAAGGTAATCCCCTACTCTGAAGACTGCACTATGGTAACTTACATGTCAGCCCCCCCATCTGAAACTTAAGGAGAGCAGCGATGGGAATTGAAAAGAAAATATTTTACTGCGCCTTTTCTTCATTTTATTTAGTATTTATTGGCCAATGACATCCGCATATAAATGACAGGATAGAGGAGAAACCATTAAGGCCAACCGGGTCACATGAAGCATTGAATATTGAGGGTAAATGACAAAAAAAAAAGATTAGAAACGCTGCTTTTACGCTGTGCAGTGAAAGCATAGCCTCCCAATGGTGTGATTTTTCTATGAAAATTGATAAAATACAATATTATATTCGATACACACCGAGACCAACTAAGACTTTGGTATGCCACAATCCTTGATCGATTCTCTGAATTTTTTTGTTGTCGTAGAAGCAGTGAGCCGCTGTAAGAATCCAGTTACTTGATATAATAGAACCGCCACAAAAGAAACCTCCTGCCTGTATATTGAAAATAACGATGATGATAAATGTAATGTGGTTCGATTATATAGAGCTTTATATAAGCGCTCGAGGTGTGGACTAGTTCGTAGGCTGCAGTAACTTGCTGCTCCCCTGAGGGTCTCTGCGTCTGAGCTACCAGGTAAACCTCTCGATCCTTCACAACAGGGGATCCCCCGCCCCATTCGTCTCGAAAGATGTTCTGGGTTCTTTAAAGTGCACATGAGCCAAATTGTGTACACTGGACCCGACACTGCCCACAGTGTCGGGTCCAATGCGCATACAAAATACTTTCTTTTCAGATTGCAAATGAAGTTTTAAATTTGAAAAGACTGTTTAGATTATGCACTGGGTTAACTTACAGAATAGCCTCTTGGATCAAAGTTATCTTCTTTCCTTTCCCATAGTGCTACTTGCCATGGCCATGCTCCTTCAATTGCGTCTGAGCCACCTGATATCCTAGCCCGAGTCTGAGGTGGTTCTGTATGTCCTGCTACACCACATGCGTTGTAGTCTACGGGAAATTAAATATATATACCGTCTGTCAGTCATAAATCCAGGAAAACTTCAAAAATCAAACAAAACTTGAATATCTCATTTTCGTCCGATAATAGAAGATATATAATTTTATAAACGCACAAGTGTTAATAGGAAATCGATTGAGTCAAAGAAAATATCAATTAAAATTACAAGAAAATTCACATTAGCTCATTCAACACAGTGGCAAAGAGGAAACGTTTGTAAAACGTGTTTCTACTGCATGGGTGGTGGGAATCTCCCCACCGTTGGAGAAGAAACCAATCGTCTTGGGTTTTGGGAACAATACTTTGGAAACAAGCAGAAATCCTTAAAGGGTTATCCTGAAATTCTCTATAATTGTTGTTATGACTCATTTAATTTCTGTACTTGTTTAATTGTCAGAACTCTGATATAAGTCATATCAAATCAACTGTCTGGGAGTGCCATTTCTGGGTATTTAGAGGGCCTATTATAAATAGTTTCGTCGGGACTATAGACATTTTTGTAAAAAAAAAACAAAAAAAAAAACATTTGTTTTTTTACAGTCTGAAAGTGCCATTTCCAGGCATTTAGACGTGCCTCGTTTGGTTAAACTTTGCTCTAAGCATGTTAGGGCTTAAGTAGGCTTAGGTGTGTGGACCTCTCGGGAAGCTTGAAATACCTTGGACCCCTCGTCAGGGAATTTCTGCAGCCGGGGTGTTTTTAGTAATGCTTATCAAAATGTAAATATCCTGCAGCGGTTCATCCCATTGTATGGCAGCTCCTCCTACAGCCATTCAACCGACCAATCAGCAAAAAGCTCTCGGCGACAGCGTGTTGCGATTGTATGGAAACCAAGCTTATAATATAATAATTTATTGGCTCACTCTTAAAACAGAGGAACACTCTCGCGCAGGAGAGGTTCAACCATACAACAGAACAAAAGTTTCAAGTAAAGATAAAATTCATGAAAAAGAGACAATAATAATAATAAAATAAAATATTCCAAATGCAATAATAATAATGATAATAATAATGTTATACTAAAGTATAAAATCTTAACTAAAGTGGAAAAAAAATAATAAAAGATAAATAAAAACACACATAATATATAGCCAATGTATAATGGATGCGTATATCAAATGTACTACAGAAGTATAATGCATAATATCATGTAAAGAAAGAAAAAACAGATGAACTATTAAAATTATTAGCAGGGTAATTTAAAACATTTTTCGTTGTTCCCATGCATCCTTTAGATATTCTTTAATACATTTATCAAAAATTGAACCAACCAAGAGTGGAATTTGTGGAGAAAACATCTTCAAGCAAATAATGAATTTTAGATCTGGTGATCCATTGGAGAAATTTTCCAAATATTCATGTAAATTATTTTTAAATAGAGCAATTTTAATTTCATGGAAGGTCTTAGCCATAATATTATAAAATTGTGGGCATTCTAATAGAAAGTGCTATATATATTTTTCACCGAGTTTCATAGTTTGCAAAAACCTGTGCTTTCATCATACTTTTCCTACCTTCTACCTTACTTTGCTTGCTTTGAAGTCAGTTTTATAACAGTTATGTTTAAAAAAAAAGGGTTTTTTTTTTATATATATATCTGAGATATTCATTTAAAGTTGATTTCTTACAAGCTTTTTCAAACCATTTAGGCCTATATCATCATTTGTACAATTTATGATTTTAAAATCAGATGAAAGGTAAATTGATTGATTTACACAAAATTCAAGTGTTAAGTCATTGCATGCTTCGAAAGAAGCTGCTTACTGAATGTTAACCATTTTAAACACAACGTACCAATCTGCTGTCCCACAAGTTCCTCGGCAAGCCAATCTAGTGCATGGTAATTCTGAAGTATGAATATGTGCTCATCAGGTAGCTCTGTCGACGCTATTCCGTATAACTCATCATTCCTCTCTGCAACATTAATACCTATGACGTATATTTCTACTTTGTAATCCCTTTTGAGTTCCATAGCTGCATCGATTGGGCTTCCACCGGTATTAGAAGCACCTATGCAACAGAGAGAAATATCATTAGGCCAAAAATGTTTTTTTTTTTTTTTTGTTTTTTGTTTTTTTTTTTGTGTTTTTTTTTAGTTCTTTTTTTTTTTTTTGTTTTTTTGCCCAGGCATGGTGACTGGGATGAGAGCAGACTCGCAGCTGGCATTTATTCACTATGGACTTAATCCAGGGTTCACTGAATCCAGGGTTCACTGAATCCAGGGTTCACTGCCAACAGGAACTTTCAAGAGTATCAATCAAACTTAACAACGACCAGTCACTGACAGAGCCAGGAATGCGCGCTTGTCCCACGAACGCATTGACCGTATTCAACTGGTCGTTCTTCGTTAAACCATGGAGGTATTATTGAGAAGGAGATCACTCGGCAACAGATCCCTTTGACGCGACAAACCTATGTGTTCCCCGCTTTTGGATCGCGCGCGGGCGTATTACCCTATGATTCACATTTTTTCGTTAGCAACAACTTGGCAACGACATGCATTTATACGCTTCCAGCATAGCAGTTGTGCAATAAAACGTTTGATTTTAACCCATTAAATATCTTTATAATGAACAATGTTCCCCTGATTAGATTTTTTCGGGCTTTTGGTATGTTATTATTTGTATATT